ATAAATTTGGAATAAATACTAAAATAAATACTGCAATGAATATTGCAATGGTTGATAAAAGAATCAATATGAGTGAAGCAAACGAGTAAAGAACCCCTTTAGCGATTCTTCGTAAAAGATTCAGAGTTAAATAAATAAAATATTCTGATTTCATTTTGATTAAAATTAATTAGAAGCTGAATGTTTTCATGCTCTTTTTAATGCATTTTGTCGTAAATAAACTTGTTCAAATAAGAAGATATTTAATTCATTTTTGTTTTAATTTATGCTCTTTTTGCCGCAGTTATTTGTATTACCTGTTTTACAAAATATCAAAATAAAACTCTGAGTTCTGTATGATATACAACATTTTATAATTACGATTATTTAATCTATAAAATATAGTGTTAATCTGTTACGCAATTACTGTATACGCGTTAAAATATATCAGATATCATAGTATAAAGGTAGCTACGTTTTTCTTATATTCATTCAGAATTTCTATTATTTAAAAGTTAGAGAGCCAAAGTCATTAAAATGAAAGAGAATAATTTAATACAAATTATTTGATTATATTTAAAGGAGCGAGAAGTAAGAATATTAATTACAAAAAAGGATAGTAGATTAAAAGCACCTCCTTATTTAATTTATTAAAATTGAAAGATCAATTTGTGCCCAAACTAGTGTATTCTGAAAAAGAATTCAGCGTAGACATTAACTATAGTATACACAAATCCAAATATTATAGAAAAATTGTTGTGGGTATAATTGGGCAGTAATCCTAGCAATAATTCTTTTTATGGAAGTTTTAATATTATTAATTATTTATGGATATGCAGATTTTATTCGCTCTTTTTGTTTAAACTATGTTAAAAATTCGTATTAATTTGTGGACAATTTATAGTATCAAAAGTTCTCGTCATTCATATTTGTATATTGAACCTTATGAGCCAATTATACATGAGACTTTTGGAGCTGACCAATCTTTGTATTTGTATACAATACAATTTATAACTGATTTTTTTGCCAAAGTTATCAACAGAGGTAGAGAATTTGGACATCCAAATTATGATGGCTTGGTGCCATATTAAAAATAAATAGAATCACAAATATTTTAGTTATAAAGATTATGAGATTTTATTACTGATTTGCTGTTTCACATAGCTATATATTAATTATTTCTCATGATCAAAACCAAGAACTTTGTAGTTATCTCTTGGGTTTTATAGAATTTATTGGTTGCATTTTTTGGAATATAAATTATAATGACAAATAGAGATTTAAATAATATGATTATTTATCAAGCAAGAATTTTTAATAGTATTTGAATTTTATTATGAAACTTTGTAGTCAACTATCTTTAATGTTCTATTTTAGCAAGCATCATTTTCCACCTGCAATATGGAAAGAATAAATAAATTTGGAATAAATACTAAAATAAATACTGCAATGAATATTGCAATGGTTGATAAAAGAATCAATATGAGTGAAACAAATGAGTAAAGAATCCCTTTAAAATACTGGCTGGAGGTCATGGATTTGGACCTACAGAGTATAAGGGAGTTTGTGCTGTGTTAAAGGTAAATAGAAGAATATGATCATTTAATTGTCTATTCAATACTGAGAATTATTAGTAGCTTATATCTGAAGAATCTTGTAATTCAAATATTTAAATTATTTTTAACAAGTTAAAAAATCGAATGTTATTGATTCTTTCTATTTTGCTCTTGATCGAAATAGAATATCAAATAATATAAAAGTAAAATAAAATATAATAATAAAAAAATTCTTTGCATAATATCAATTCTTTATATCTAATAAATTGGGACTACCAAAATTGTCATAGCAGTTTCTCAAATTTGATTGGCTAATAGCTGTGATCTACAAAATTTTGGCCTGCATTACATAATTGTTTATGTAATTTTTGGCCAGAATTAACTTTTTAACTTTTTCATTCCAAAATAGAAATTTTTAGAGAAATAGACCCACACAATGATAAAATTGGCCCAGAAACATGTTTCACTTAATGGGTGGCATGATTTCATTAGTATAATTCGGTCTAAATTTTTAATCATTGCTCCTAACCAATCAAAATCGAGAATCTGCCATTATAGCAGCTAGGTTATACTCCTGTGCCCGAATCCATGAATCAGAAATTTCTGATCATTTCCAAAATTATTAAAAGGTATAGAAGAATTAGAAAATTTTTATTGGTATATAGATTTTGAAAGGTTTATAAATCATGGTGATATCTGTTGTCGCTATTCTTAAGGCTTATTGCTTTGTATTAGACCATTATGAGATGTTGCTTACTTTTTGCTTAGTTCTATTATTGAAACATTATTCACCTTTTTCAAATTAGCTAAATAATTTGCTTCTATTGCTTATTATTGATTGGCTTAAAAGAGAATTACTATAAAAAGTTTCACTTAGCAGTCCTAACTAATAAAAAGTCACATGAATTTATCAAATACCATCTGCCCTCGTCAAAGAACAACTGAATATTTATAATCTAGTGGAGCTATTATTTAGGAATTTATAAAAAAATGCAATCGATAAGTATTTTTTTAAAGTCTTTACTTATTTGATCTAGTAGTAATAGTCTTTTCTTTAAAAATGTCATTCGTCCAGATTTTGCTATAAATGACTTTTTAAAGAGTCAATTATAGCAATCAAAATCCTAATATTTGCCGTTCAAGACTAATTTAGATGACAAAGCAGCTTTGATTGATATTACAGTATATTGATAAAATTTTTTGTTCAATATGATAGGTTGATTGTATTTGATAAGTTTATGTGATTTTTTTGTTGGCTGGGATTGCTAGTGAAAATTTTCATTCAATTTTCTCTCGAGCTTTCAATAATAAGAACTATTGTTAAGCTATTTATTTAGTTAAATTTTTTTCTCTACTTTATTAAAAAAATTAACCCTTCTATTTTTACGTGAAAATCTTGTCAAAAAAATTTATATTCTACTAATTTAGACTTTTTAAATTAAATCAGAATTTCAAAATTATTCATACTTAATAAATGATTAATTTGTATAAAAATACATATATTTCTCATTGTTTGACATATTAAGAATACAATTTTTTTGAATTTATAAAATGAATTATAAGAATTCTCAAATTTAATAATTTTTACTGATATACTTTTGTTATATCAGATATTTGAACGGAAGGGTAGTTCTTATATTATAAATAGTCAGGTTTTTTATTTCGTATTTTGTAACTTCTGTTGCTTTTTCATTTTTTTTGCTTGCCGAGGATTTAATTGTTTCTCCACTCCCGTATTTAGCTATTAAAATCATGTCTAATTTGTTGTATGTTACTTGATTGAGTTCAAAAGTTGTATAGTAGTTCATTGTTTTACTGAAATGTTGTAATTTAACTGTAGCAAGATCTGCTTCTGTTTGTTTATCCGATTTCTTGAGAATATTTTTAAATTCGATAATTGCCTCTATTTTTCCTGTAAATAAAATAGTAAATCCTTTTAAACATCTGTATATACGGATACCATTAATTTTTCTTTGTTTAGACGTTTTTAGTGAAGCTAGTTTAGGCATTTTTAGCGAAGCTATAAATTTGTATAAAAATTAATTTTTGTAGATTTTTGAACAAATTTAAATTTTATTTGATAAAATGTTACAATAAATTTTTTAAAACAGAACTTTGGATTAAGAGTGCCCTTTTATAGCAAGCATGACAATAAACTGTTTATATTTTCAATTATAAAAAAACTGGTTTATATAATCACAGGTATATATTAAAATATAATATATTAATATCAACTGAATTTTGTATAATACAAGGCAAATGCACAGTATTGTGTCCAGTTATAATATACTAATTATTATGAATCATTAACAATATGTATATTGAATTAAACTGATAATTCTTATATTTCATGCCAAATTTATTATAAAATAAATTCAGTTTTGAATTTTAATTTATTTGTACAATTAAAGTTAAATTTGTAAACTCAATTAGTGCTTAATTAGGATTGGTAAGACGTATTCTAATATGCATGCTAAGCCTCAAAATGCTGCGCAATAATACACATTTGCAAAAATCTGTTGCAACAAATTTTTTGGATCAAAAAAAGTTCTCAATTAAATTTTGATATATGTATTATTTATTTATGCATATGAACTAAATTAAAAATTTGAAACTCTATATAGAATATCTGAATCAAGCATTCTAATATGCGTGATAAGCCTCAAAAATGCTGTGAGAATAATGCATTTGTGACAACCAAGTATTGAGATAATATCTATTTTTTTTAAAAAGAATTATTTAAGAAGGAAGATTAAATTTGGTAATACAGC